GTGTCCCTAAGGAAGGGAAATCTTGGCGGGCCCAGAAGTATCAAAGGAGCTAGCCAGGTCAATTGGTGCTGGCCATGGGGCCGGTGGGGCCATAGCGAGGGGGCCGCCACCAGCTGGGGCTATAGCTTGGCCTGTTCAAGAAACCACAGTGGTTTGGTATTGGAGTGAGGAGCCCAGAGTTCAGTGCAGGGAGTGGTGTGAAGGTGTCATGCATTCTACTCAGGCGTTTATTCAAAAGACAGTCAATGAATACCAACTGCATGTCAGGCACTGTACAGAGTCCTAGGGATACAGCCATGGACACATCGGAAAAGAATGAAGTAAGGAAGGAAGAAAGGAAGGGAGGGAGGAAGGAAATAGGAAGGAAACACTATATTTCTGCCTCCAGGGAGCTTATATAGTCTTATCAGGGAGCCAGACTTTAAACACCTGAAATAAATGCATAACTTACAAACTGAGAAGAAGGGCACGAAGGAGCAGAACCATTGCTACCAAGGGAGACCCTCCTTTGGACAGGGAGCAGGGAAAGCTCTTGGAGGTCAAGCATTTCAGCAGGTCAAGCCACTTAGAGATGAAAGGAACCAGACTGGAGGGAAGGCTGCAGAGACCAGCCAGGCTCAACAGTGAAGGGCCCTTTCAGACACCTATGAAGGCGACAGAATATTATCCTAGGGGCCAGGTGGGCTGATGAGCTAGCAAGGTCCCATTAAGCAAGGAGTAAAGTGATCAGATTTGCATTTAAGACACAGCCCCAGTGTGAGAACTGGATCCAAGCCTGCAGCCTGCAGGCTCCCACACCCCTACCTCCCGTTGCATTGTGCATCTCCTGCTCTGTTCTTGAGGACCCAGCTGTCCAGGTCATGGGTACCTAAATTTTACAGCTGCTTAGAGTGTGAATGCCCACATTTCAAGATGAAGCTGGTGGGCACAGTCTCTTTTAGTTCTCAAACTGGAATTCAAAATAAATTTCTACAAGCTCCCTGATGTTCTTACCTCCCAGCCTGACTTCCTCCAGTGCTGTAATTGATGTCAGTATTCCTTGCTATAATCTACAGTCACAGAAGCTACAACTTCTTAAGTCAGAAAGAAAAAAATAAATAAAAAGGTGGCTTAAAAAAATTTTTTTTAGTGCTAGACGTGAAATTGAGGTTGATGAGTCCCATTTGCACAGCGGGTAAAGACGTCTCTACCTAAGATGCATAAGGAATGAAACGGAGCTTGCCCATGTAAACCGCTGGAGCCCCCTATCCAAAGTAAAAATAAACAAATAAAAGCGAGCACTAGGCTGTCTTCCCATTCACTGTTGTCAGGCAGTGAGGGATAGCAGACTCAGTGCGGACAAGCTACGGTCTGTGCAGACATACTTTCATGAGCGCAGTTCATCATTACCTTCCCCAGGCTAGAAACCCCTCCTGTAAGCATGGTATGCCTTGGCCCTTCCATACCAATCCTACCTCCCCTGTCAAAACATGAGGGACTAAGCTGCTCCTCTGCCCTCTCCAGTCTAAGGTGATCTTACACTGTCCATATAGAGAGGTCCTAGCTTCTGGGCAGCCCACTCAAAATGCGGAGACAGCTTGGGAGTCTATAATTAAGCTATTAACAAATAGACTTCACAGGTTTAGGCTTTCTGGCTTCACTTTCTCCTCCTTCCCTTAATCTCCGCCTTCTGTTTCCTGGCCTCGGTGAGATCACTTAACCCCCAGTAGCTATTCTTTCTCTAGAGGTTCCAATATGATACCATTGTTAGGCTGGGTCACCTGGTGTTCTGGGCTGTGCCCAACAGAATGATTCTGTGATGCAGATTATTCTTACCCCTGTCTCATAGATAAGGATGTTGAGGTTTAGGGAGTTGGGTAGGTTGTCCAAAGTCACAGGTCATAGGTGGTGGAGGAGAAATTTGAACCCACTTAAGTTCAACACCAAAGCCAAAGCCTTATCACTATACTGTTCTTCCCCTAAGTGTTTACCCTAAGATCTAGTCCCATATTTTCTGTCATCTCTATCAAGATGTCCCCATGAGCCACCAACTCAACATCCAAGCCTGACTAAGCAAGCGCCTTTCCCAACCACCCCTTTTCTGACTGGTCCAATCCACCTCCATCCTCCTAGCCTGCACAGCTTGGAGTCACCCAAATGCTAAATCCTAGCTCTTTCCTCCTTCAAACCACACCTGCCATTTGTTGGTTTCTTCCATTGCTACTGTATTGCTCTGACTCGTGCCCTCATCTCTTGACCCATGGGTGAGAAAGAGAGTGAATGTTTGTACGGAGAGGCCAGATCTCAATCTCATTTCTGCCAATTTCAAGCTAGGGGATCTTGGCCAACTTTTCCCATCTGGAGGAAGGGGTGAAGTCAGCAGTCCCACGGGGGAGGGTTGTGAGGGTTAAAAACAACGGACACAAAGCACAGACTGAGATGTACACCCTTGAGAGAGTCCCACTAAATAATATAATTTCTCACTCACCTCTAAGTCCTCAGTTTCCCCCATCTGTAAAGAGAGCACAGTAGCACATGCCTCATAGGTGGTGGGGGAGATTTAATGAGTCAGCATTTGGGGCCCATGAGGGCCGCGAACGTGCTGGCTCTGTTACCAGCCCAGCTTCCACTGCCCGATCTGCTCTCTAAAAGGCACAGGAGAGCAGTCGGCCTTGGTGCCCTGCTTAGGGCTGTTTCAACATACTCGATCGTTTTCCCTCCCCGCCCAGGAGCGGGGCTGACTGAGGGCTCAGGGCTTCCCCTCTCTAGCAGCTGGCCCCTCGGCTGCACATAGGAGGGCCTCAAAATACCGAATGAGTATCTCTTAAGGCCGGTGTTCTCCTTGGAAGAATTCTTTGGCTAGCTATATTGTTTTCCTATCTTTTTTTTTCTTTTTAATTTTTTTGGACTTTTTATTACAGACACATCTGGGCAGCTTCACGAGGCCTATTTTCAAACCTCATGAAATCACTGGAGGCAGGAGGGGAATGCCCCGTTCTGCTGGGGTCCGGCAAAGTGCACGGTGCCACGGCCTCCACCAGGCTTTATAAGAAGCTGCCGATGGCAGCCAGGCTTTGTGGACAATGGGCTCAGACAAAGGCGAGTGAGAAACGGCTCTGAGGGGCCTGGCCTCCAGGAGGGTGTCTCTCTGGGACTCAAGAGGCCAGTTCTTCAAGACTGAGTCTCTTCGTACTGAACCCCAGGTCTCAGAGCCTATCAAGGTGGAGGCTGTCCTGGGAAGTGCCCAGAATTCCCTCTGTTCTGCTTTAAGCTAAGCAGGATGACACTGTCTTTTCTGGATTTCAAGAGGAGCCTTTCATCACGATGAACAATGTCTGTCTAAATACATCCCATCCCACATGCAAACCCCCTTATGTGAGTTTCTGTGCCATTTACTTGTTCCTAAGAAGCACTTTGTGCTGCACATCCCAGCAATTTTGTTACTTTAGATATTTAGCAAGTCATTTATATCGCAAGTTAGTGAGATGCTGTGAAATGGTTAAGTAAGAGAAAAGCTTGCTCCTGTGGTGCCAGTGGGTTGCCACACTGGACATATTCATCAATATCCTGTTTTCTTTGAAAATATCGGTGGCACACTGTGGATTCATCTTTAGCTTGCTATCTACCCTTAACTCACAGATTCACAGATATGAAGGGGAATTGTGGAGTCTGTCCGGTCTAGGGATGACAAATATATTCCATCCCTGGAAACATCTCTGAATGATCAATGGATAGTAGCTCCAGAGCACTGTATTGGGAAAGATACTCAGGTCAAGCTGGGGACAATTAGCCGTATCTGCCATGAGTATGGTGACAGAATGGGGCAATGCACATGCCACTTATTAGCCATCCCAGAATGTTTCACCCCTCCAGTCTGCAGATAAAGGAGTTTGATGATTCTTTCAAGATCACACAGACAGTCTCTGTCTCTGCTCCCCAGCTGTAGAATCGGTGTTCGTACCAACCCCCCACCCTCCACCGCTGAACAAAAATTCGCAGATAAAGCAAGGTTATGGGGAGTGTGGCAGATGGAGAAAGGCAGCAAAAATCAAGGCTTTGAAAAATTGGGTAAGAGCAGACCATCAAGCAGGAGCAAAAGCTAGCCACACCCAGCTGGGAACACACCATTATTATTGTAATTGTTTGGTCTGGGTCTTGCTGTGCGCCTTTCCTTTCTATCAAGAAACCAGAGTCTTTAAAATCTTGATGAAGGAGGGGTAGGTGAGTCCACGGTAGCAAAAAGTCTCTGGATGACACAGTCGGGAAGTCTAAAGGGCAGTTGGTAGCATTCTTAAAGTGTGTAAACATGTACACAAGTACAAGGATCAGCATATGTGTGCATCTTGAAAGGAACGGGCACTAGATCATGCCCGCCCAAGCACCATTTCCCACCCTCAGACAACAGCATGCTGATTTACTTTGAGTAACTACCTATCTTTCACTCTCCGCCCATATGTCTTAGGTGGGGCTGACTCCACCCTGGCTTCAGGATGAGACGCGTGACTCAGACTGAGCCAACTAGAGCATCGCTACCCAATGGACACAGTGACTAGTTCAAGGATGAACATGTGATCTAATGAGAGCCAAGAAGATTTGATTTCAAGCATTTGTTGGCATTATCAGGAAGAGGCGCTTTCTCAGGGGACTTCAGGCTGGGAAAATGAAGTAGAGCTGCTGAGATCTCCACATTGGAAGGCAGAGAAGGATGTGACTGTCTAACAGTGAAGCCAACAGAAGGGAAACAGAACCACAAATGGGTAAGGATCAAAGCTGATGTCATAACTGGGCACTGGTACACTGCCATGCCTGAAGGCAGAGTTACTCTGAAATAGTTGCCTCGTTAGCCGATAAATGCTCACATACCACCTCCTCCCCCGAATAGTTTTCTGAGTTGGGTTGTTGTCCTTTGCAACAACAAAGAAGTCTTGGCCAATAATAAACCAAAGAACTATTTTCCACATAAGACATACAGACCCCAACGTTCCTCTGTGGACCCAGTTTATCCCAAACAGCTGTGTTACCTGCAAGGAGCCCTGGATGTCTTTCCCCCCGACAATCACAAGTTCTGCCATGTCTTCTGCATGGGGAGTCCGGGCGTGGATGAACAGAGTCTTGCCTACCGCAGTTATGTTTTTCAGGGCAACTAAGCTGCCATCATTGTTCACCTTGAAGTATGGGCTTGAGACCTCATAGTGTAGCTTGTTGTTTCCCTTGCAGTCACTGAAGGTCACTGGGGAAAAAAACAAACCAAAACAGAACAGGTGAACAAAAACAGAAAGAGTGTGAGTAGGTTGGGCAGTTTACTGCTGGAGAAATCTCTGACCATTAAATGTGGGTCACTGCTCCCCACCCAAATCTACAAATGCTTCCCCTTATCCCACAGCACCCCCCGTAGCTCTCTAGCTCTGATTGTGCTGGGAAACTTCATTCATTCTAGATCTGTCCTTGATCACCTGCCATGTTCTAGGCAAGTACTAAGCACTGAGGACGCAGAGATGAACAGGATCTTTTAAGGCAGCAGCTCAGGGTTCCAGAGAGTGGTTTGAGAGAGAAGAGAGGCCAAGAAAACCAGTCAGTCTGGTGTTGTACCAATGACGCCTGGCTCAGATTAACACACTGGTGGGATAGATGTGGACAAAATTCCTATAGTTGAATGGCTAAGTCATGTTTGGGAAGGAATAGGAGAAGCAGCTGTTCTTGTGGGCAAGCACAGAATTGCACTGCTGGCCTTCTTTCCTCACCCCACTTGTTTCCTCAGCTCTCTACTGAACAGACTTGTTTGTTTAGTAAACCTTTAACAGAAGCATAATACAGATACAGAAAAAGCAATAAATCAGAATGTACAACTTGATGTATTTTCATAAAGTGGGCATGCCCTTATACTCAGGACCTAGGCCCAGATACAAATACTACCAACCTTCCCCTTCCCCTCCCTCCTGAGCCACAATCCCCAGCTTCCTCCTTAAAGGCTGCACAATGCTGACTTCTAAAACCATAGGTCTGTTCCACATGCGTTTGCACTTCATAAAAATGGGATCATCCAGTGTGTGCTCTTTTGTGTCTGGATTCTTCCACTCGATATTATGTTTGTGAGATTCATCCATGTGTCTGTGAGTCACAACAGTTAATCCTAACCACTCTGTAGTACTCCAGTATGTGGCTCTAATGAATTTCTCTTGATGGGCATCGGGACTATTTCCAGTTCGGGGCTCTCAAAATATTGCTTCCAGGAACTTTCTTGCGTGTCTTTGGTGACAACATCTACCTTGGTCTGAGCACACTGTTAAAGCCATATAAATATTTGACGAACTAAGCTGATCTTTCTGTTCTGGGAGATAATTCTTACGGTGATAATAACCATATTAGCTGATAATGATAATAGCTAACGTGAATTGAACAATTTCCACACGCGAGGCTAAGTGTCAAGCATTTTACATGCATTATCTTATTTAATCTGCACAACGAATGAGGTACTTTTTTGACCCCAGTTTATAGATAAGGTAACTGAGGCTTGGAGAGAGCAAAGGAGGTGCCTCCCACAGTTTGTAAATGTGGAGAGACACATAAATTGTTTCATTATTATCGATTAGCATTCATCCACTGAAGGCACGCTGCTCAAATGACAGGGCCTGCTGGTTGGCTAGGATGCTGGCTGGTTCTGGCCCTTGCCCCTGGGCAGGACCCAAGAAGACAGACCGAACTGGGGAGGACTGGGAGTGAGGAAAGACATACAAAAGTTTGTGGGGTTCTAGTTTCGCCTTTCCCTTCCTTTCCTTCCTTTCTTCCTTCCCACATCCATTACTCCCTTCCACAAATATTAACTAGGAATCTATATTATGCTAGATGCTGGGTTTATAATGTTGAGCAAAGATGGACACAGTCCCTGGGTTGAAGTATAGTCGGAGAGAAAGACAGTAATTCAATGCCCTTATAAGTAACAGAGGACCTACTCCAGGCAGAAAGAGCCACATGTGCAAAGGTCCAGTGGCATTCAGGGGATTGCAAATAAGCCAGTGAGATGGGCACAGAGAGCAAGGGAGAAAGTGGGGAACAGAGAATGAAGATCAGCTGGAAATGTGGGGCGTGGAAGGCCACATCAAGACTTATTCCTTGAAAAAGATTTGGACCCTCCCAACACAACTATAGAACCAACTTGCCTCTACCTGAGTCTCATACAACTACAGCTCCCCAGTGCAAATGATGCCAGCACCCAAGGTCCTCCATGGCTAAGCCGTCCATTGGCCTCGCCTCTGGCCTCTGCCCTCACTCTGTGCCTCATGCATTACTCACCTCTGCGCCAGCCTACACCTACTGTATTCTCCCACCTCTCTGCTCATTTTGCTCCCTCTGTGCAGAAGTCACTTCCCACCTTCCTCACCCTGTTCAATCCTAGCCATTCTACAAGAGTCAGCTCCATAACTTGTCCAAATATCCTCTTTGTGTTCCCCAAGTTTCCTGCACACAGGATCTTTTATATCATGTTATAGCAATATGCCCATTTTATGTATCTGTTTTTCTCATCAGAACCAAGAGCCAAGGGGTGCCTGGGTGGCTCAGTCAGTGAAGCATCTGCTTTCAGCTCAGGTCATGATCCCAGAGTTTTGGGATCGAGTCCCGCATCGGGCTCCCTGCCCAACAGGGAGCCTGCTTCTCCCTCTCCCTGTTCTCTGCCACTCCCCCTGCTTGTACTCTCTCTCTCAAATAAATAAAATCTTTTTTTTATAAAAAGAACCAAGGGGCGCCTGGGTGGCTCAGTAGTTAAGCGTCTGCCTTCGGCTCAGGTCATGGTCCCAGGGTCCTGGGATCGAGCCCCGCATCGGGCTCCCTGCTCCGCGGGAAGCCTGCTTCTCCCTCTCCCACTCCCGCTGCTTGTGTTCCCTCTCTCGCTGTATCTCTCTCTGTCAAATAAATAAAATCTTTAAAAAAAAAAATTAAAAAAAAAAAAAAGAACCAAGATCAGAAATTGAATCTTTCTTCTTCTCATTATTCATCTCTAGATCTCTAGCAATGAATAGAATGCTTTTGCATACAGGAGGCATTCAATAATGATTATACTTAATTCAGTTGCTCTCCAGGGGCAAAATGATACTCTAATAGGGGTGGACTGAGGGCATGGTACTTCTTTAATGCTGGGAGCAGAAGCTGCTGCAAGCAAGGGCAGGAATTGAGAAAGAAGGTCCCTAGGCCATTCTTGTCTTAGATGAGCAGGGGGAGGAGCAGAGGGAGAGAATCCCAAGCAGGCTCCAAGCCCAGTGCAGGGCCCAACTTGGGTCTGGATCTCACAACCCTGAAGTCACGACCTGAACTGAAATCAGGAGTCAGATGCTTAACCAACTGAGCCACTCAGGCGCCGCTGCTGTCATGAAATTTCAATGGCACAGATATGCTGCATGTCTGTGTACTTACGTACCTCTGTGCTTTATACACACACAAAGGCAATGTTTTGCCCCTCCCCCATGCCACCCTCTTGGGGGTATCATAGCCCCACTGAAAATGCATACTCTAAAAGCATCATTTTCCATTTTACGGGAAAACAGACTGAGCCTCTGAGATTGAGCAACTTGCTCGAGTTCATACACCCAGAGAAAGCAGGAACCTGTCCCCAGTCCATCTGTCTACCTCCATAATTTAAGCTCTCAGTACATTCATTTCCTGGGAATTGATGCATAAGAGGGAATAGGGCAGTTGCCCCATCCTGACCCCTGAAGGCCACTCACTAATCCCTCTGGGCTTCTCAGAGGTCCCAAATAAGGGCGTAGTGAGAGACCACATCTATATTCAGGATCTGGCACATCATAGGCACCCAGTATATTCCAGCTTTCTTCCCAGCTTGCTCTGTCAAATAACTAAGGATTGCAAAACTGGGTCTCTCTTTTAGACACCTTTACCAATTCAAGAGCAGATGCTTTAGACTGTGGTTTTTTCAAGGCTATGAGAATCATCTGGAGAGCATTTTAAAACATAGCAATACCTGCTCAACTCCCAACCAAGATTCTGATATAACCAGGCTGGGCTGGGGTCTGGGCACTGGTATCCCTTTAAAGCTCCCCAGATGAATCTAATGCAGCTAAGGGCCAAAAACCAGGACCTCAGACAATGGACTGTTTGTCAAGATGCCAGGTTTCCACATTTCCCAGCCATCCTTGGCACAGAGAGGAGGTTGGGGACCTCGCATGCCAGGAACTACTCTTCCCATGTCCTAAGAAAGGGCAGTTTTAATGGTAGGTTTCTAAGCCGTTTTCCAAACCTGGCACATGTGCAGCAGCCCTGTGACCTTGGGCAGACACCCATCCTCTTTGTACCTCAATGTCTTCATCTGTAAAGTGGGACAAATAGTAGTACCTCCCTCACAGGTACTGTAATTCTTATGGTGAGCATTCAACACGATCATACATACCTACATGCATAAAACACTTAGGATGGTGCTCCATGAATAAGAATTATTACCATCATTACTCCTGTAATTGTAGGCATTAAGGAAACTACTTTTTTCCTTTTCCTACATAGCTTCCTGCTTCCAGCTAGTTTTCCACCTGCCTCCTGAGTCCTTCCATCTCTTTCTAGTCAGGTACCCATGCTCTGGCCTGCTGGGCCAAGTGTGGTTACCATGGAGACGGTTGCTAGAGGCACCTCTCCTGGGGCCAAAGGAGTGAGGCAGATGATTCTGATCCAGACTGGACCATCTTTGAATCTTCCTACTCTTCTTGGCAAAGCCCTACCTGTCTCAAGTGAGAGGTTGTGAAGAAAAGAATGACATCAAAGAAGCGAAATCACAGTGCTCCACCCATAGTAGACTCAACAGAGTTTCATTAAATGTTCTTTAAATGGATTGTTTGTACAGATAACTTCCTACCAATCTAAACTCTTATTTTTCCGAAAAGCATGACACCGCACCGAAGGCTTTACACTCATGATTGCAGTGAATCCTCACATGACCAATTTGAGGTAGATTATTTGTTTCCTCTCTAGAAACTGAGACTTAGGGGCACCTGAGTGGCTCAGAAGGTTAAGCGTCTGCCTTCGGCTCAGGACATGATCCCAGAGTCCTGGGATCCAGCCCTGCATTGGGCTCCCTGCTCAGCAGAGAGCCTGCTTCTCCCTCTCCTTCTCCTGCTCCCCCTGCTTGTGCTCTGTCACTCTCTCTGTCAAATAAATAAATAAATTAATTAATTAAATAAATATCTTAGGAAAAAAAAAGGAAATTGAGACTTAGTGAGGTTGAATGAGGGG